GAGAGTTGATTCTTTTGTTTGGATTAAAAATCAATGTATTGATTTCCTAAGTTAACTAGACTTTAGCATGACCTTGGACCAAACTTGAGAATCTCCTGCTTCTGCTTCTTTTAGGAGTTAGTTGCTAGTTTTCTTTTATACTTGGAAAACAAACAAAAAGAAATTATTTGTATAGTCTATTTCCATGTACAAATCATTTTCTTTACTATTTGCTTAAATTTAGTTCAATTAAATAAAGGGTGTTTCCATACGTGACAAATAATTTTTTTTTCCTGATTTCAATGGTAAAAGAATTTATTATGACTTCCATGCACCAAAGATTATATCCTTAGTTAATTAGGTATTAAATTATATATCTATATGTGAATTAGTGTATTAAAAAAGTTATTTTATATTCTATCTTGTTTTAGGATTGGAATGACGTGTAATAAAATAAAAAATATTATCTCAGACCATTGATTCAAATTATTTTTTATTTATTTATTCGCTCAAAACTCTTCTTTATACCTGATTGGTAAATGATCTAGGTTTTATTTATATCAATAAAAATATGCATCAATAAAAGCATGCATACAAAAGCTCACTTTAAATTTGTTTAATACTAAAAATGTAACAAAGTTATATCTTGTAAACCCTAACCTCAAATATGGCAAGCAAATACATGTATATGATTTAAGTCTATAACTCATTTTATTTATTTTATTTCCTCTTTAAAAGTTTTAGTGTTTTATAGGTTTATTTTTAATTCTTGAACTTTTATTATAAAAACTACAGTAAAATCTTATATTTTTTCTGTATGAAATAGAGAATTTTAGTTTCATAAAAACATGCTAATTAAAAATTATTTAAAATTAATTTTTTATTTATTCACAATTTATTATAAACATGTTAACATTCCTTTAAGAAAACTATTGTTGAAAAATAATTTAGTAAATTTTAATCCTAAAATAATGCACCTCATTTTTAATTTGTTCCAATAACCCTAATTTTAAAATAATTTTCTAATAAGATCAACGACCATGATTATAATTCCAAGCAGATCTAAATGCTACAATTATTACTTGAAGGCTGAATAAAAGCTGAAATGGAGTCGATAGGGCAACAAGTTTCTACTCGACTTAGCCCAATCTCCCAATGCCAACATGGAGTTGCTAGTCAGTTTGGACCTACTAAGTTTTCACCCTCCCAGCCAGCCCAACATGAGCTTCCGTTTGTTCTGTGTACCTTAGGCCTTTGGCCGTAAATTGCACAGAGAAGAGTAAACCTAAAACGCTTGGTCTTTCCTCTGTTCCCCACAGCTCCTATTAAACCGCCTGAAACCCTAAGTCTCCTTCCCCGCCACTCTTTATAAAGAGTCTCCAAGGCATCCTGTTGGTGCATATCTGGTTCTTTCGTGGTTTAGGGTTCATTTTACTTAGGCTTGTCGCCTTAGGAATTGCATCTATTCATGTTTTCATTCCGGCTGGAAATGATTGAGGGGCAGTGACGATTTCATCGTGAAAGGTCTCGTTCGTCGTAACTGGCTTTTTAAAGGCCTTGACGACCATCCTGATATATCACCACCCATATCCCGAGTCCCTTTTTCTTATTTTCTGATACTTTTTTTCTTTTTTTGTCACGATAGTTGTTCGGCCGATGATTAAACAAAAATTCAAAGACAAGCATATGTCTGAAACTATGTGTGTTGATAAATCTAATCTTCTCTATGAGGCCGAATCTTTTATGAATTTCTTGCCCGTTTCTGCTTTAACCTATGTTTTTTGCTGTCAGTTTTTCATAATCTCCTTTTGGTGCTGTTGCCATTGATGAAAGAACTGGTATTTTTGTCACGAATGATGAAGCTGTGATTACAAACTTACCACTACTGCCTTCCTTCTGAGGCCCTGTTTTTATATGATTTGCATAAGATCTTTCTCCCCCAATTTGTTTTTTGTTTGTCTATTAGATCTGTTTTAGATTGAAAAAAGTGGGTCATATGATGATTACAAGCATAGTTCAACTGATAATCTCTGTGATTATTACAAAACCTTTTAGTCTTTCGCTCCTATCTGATGATCTCGTTGAAATACATCTATCCTTTATTTTTCTTCAATTCTAGTGTTTTATCTTAATTTCTTCGACTTTTTATGAAGAGCTTGTGTCCCTTGATTTTAGATTTTGGTTCAGACAAGCATGTCTGGCATCTTTTGTGTTGAAAAACCAAATTTGATGTCCGTTCGAGGCTTATTAGCTGGTCTCTGAACATATTTCCAAGTAAACAAGGGAGGGGCAATGATGATTTGTATCAATGGTCTCGTTCGTCGTAATTGGCTCTTTAAAGGCCTTGCCGACCATCCTGATATATCACCACCCATATTCTGAGTCCCATCCGAATAATGACTTCAAGAACGTTTGTTCTTTTTCGTTTTTCAATTGTATTTTGCTGAGATTTATTCAGCATTTTAATTGCTGACACTTTCTCAGCAATCTATTTTAAAGCGGAGCTTTCTGTGAATGCGGAATTGTTCCAGTTTCATTCCTTGGATCTCTGGCTTGGGTCTAAAACTTCATTGCAAATTTGAAGTTACTGCTAGGTGCATTTTTAAGCAGAAACAGTTTGTTTGTGTCAAGATTTCGAAGCCTCCTGTGAATCCAGAAACGATGAGGGAGGATAGGAATGGTTAAAGAGGTCACTAAGTTTAGCTTTTTACCAAAACCTCTTCTCGTGATCGGAGTTGGTTCGTCACTGCTAAGCAATCTTTTCCGGCCTTGTATGTTGGCAAAATTACTAAATAATGTTGTTATAATTAACTCCTGATACTCCTCCATCCTCCATGCCCGGAGGGAATCATGAGGCGTATGAACCTTGCGAAGAATTTATATTTTTAATCTTGCATCAAGATACTAATTTAAAAAATATACAAGATGTGTATGAAGCCGTGATGTTGCAAAATAATGTTTTTTATGTATAATAATAATGGCGTCGGCCACATAAGTAATTGAATTTTATCAAAAATAATAATAATAATGAAGTGTCGACTCACACAGAAGACATCAAGCTATCAAACTTGGGTACACCTGAGTTAATAAGTAAATTTTAATTTTTAATCAACTCAATATTATAAAAAAATTAAAAATTAAAATCATACAATTCAATGGCAAAAACAATTAGAGTTAAACCTATTAGATTTAATGACTTTTCATAAACTAAGTGCATGAGATTTTTTGTATTTTTTATATCAAACAATAACTTTTTTCAAAAAATAGGAAAAACATAGGTGATAATCGGGACTTAAATAATAAACAACTAATTATTTAAAGTTTAATAACAAAAATAAAATATTCTTTTCAAGTCAAATAAAAAAAATAGACTAAGCAAGTGAACCTTAAAGGATTTTTTTTTAATGCATTAACCCATAAAAAAAGGTTTGACTCGCATTTTATGCCCATAAAAAAGAGATTATATATTATTAAATTTTCATCCTCTTGTTTCATTCTAAAAATGAAGAACACGTTTATAACCTTAAACAACCCTAATTTATCTAAAAACTCAAAATTAATATGAAACCAAGTTGTTCTTCAAGATTAGATCTAGTATCTAAGGCAAAGAAAAGGATAAAAAAATATTTAAATTAAACTCTCTCAATCAAAACCTGAATTAAAAATCAATATTTTTTGTAAGTTAAATCAATATCAATTAAGAATCCAGTGACTCTTTTCAATTTCTCTCTAAAATTAAAGTATTGGAAAATTAAAAGAATTATGTTCCATACCAAAATTTAATTTTTGAAATCTCAAGGGTCCAAAAGTTTATCACTTGAAAAGTAGGAGGGCCAAAATAAATGTTTTGTCATAATTTTAAAATTGCCATCTTTTATGTCCTTTTCATTTTGATTTTTATTCTTTTAATTTTATTATTTCTCAACAAATTTGAAGCAATTGGCTTTTAATTTAGCCATTAAAAATTGAAATTACCTAAAAAATATTTGATGACCTAAATAAAAAAAAATAGACATAATAAATCCATAATGAAACATAAGAGGAAATAGTGTTTGGGTTTACAATATTCTCCCTACGCGACCTGGTTTTTTCTATAATAAATACCATGAACTCATCCTTATCTTCTTGGATCGATGAGATAAGAATTTCGATTTTCCATGCGGTCTCTTTAAAAATTATCAAAGAAAGTGGGATTTTTCAACACAATCAATGATTAAAGGTGAATCTAAAAGGAACAAAGTATCCACTGTATGGCGCAGGGGCCGGATTGGCTGTACCTGGAGTCGATGGAGTTGTTCCGATGACTTCAGTTTTTGAAGTCAGGCCAAGAGGGAATGTTGTGGGGAAATTGGTGAAGCCGAGGAATAGAAGGCGAGTCTCTTTGTTCTTTAGTGATCGATTCTGATAGCAACAAAGCCATCAAGTTTAAGGAGAATTCGTGTACATATCATTGAATCATTATCCATAGCAATGGCAAGGTGGTTAAGGCAGCTCCCTTTTCTCTCTTTCCTTGTGGAAGAAAAATACCATCTGTCAACGAATCAGTACGGGTTAGTTCCATCTTAAAATTTGATGCTGTAATGCTTCTCAGGCATACAAAATCTTGTCAGCCATACGCTGTAAGCCCATGCCCTGACGTCGGAAGTTTCTGTTCTCTTGTGAATTGTGATGCCATGTCTAGGATGACTTTGCTACACAATCAGGCCCAAATGTCCAGTGTATGAAGCACAGAGGAGACAATTACAAAGAAAATCATTTCACTGGTACGTCTCCAGTTTTACGTAATTATATGACCACTACCGAGAGCTTTCATCATGATGCGCACGCACAGTTTCTGGACTAGAGGCGTGATCTTATATGGCATATGAAATTGAAATAACTGATTAAACAGTGTAGTTAACAGGCAACTTTCAATGTGGTGTTATGGAATCTCAAAGAGCCCACAAAGTTTTCCCCTCGTCTGCAAAAATACAGCAGTTCGCAGATGAAGTGATTACGACCTCCTCGGGTGTATGCTTGTGTGAAGAGAGATTAGAGAGTTGCTTCATTGAATACAATTCAATTGTGTAGATCAATACAGGCATGCCCTATAATTACATCCAGGTCATGGGAAAGGGGCAAAAAACCTTTCCCATGCAAAAATTGCCTCTCTCAAGTGAAGAATGCTGCTATGGAACTTTTTTAAAAAAGTGAGCAGATTAAGGGATAAGAAAATGGGACAGAATTCGATGAAAGGAAGAGTGAGTATCCAGAAAATAAACAAGCTCTTCCGAAGGGCTTGGTACTATTCAGATGCAGCAGTGTTCTTCTGCTTATCAACAGCACAGCCGGTATCAAGAACCGTGCCGCCAATCCTTTTAGGTGGCCAATAACGGAAAACTGATCTTCCAATAATGTTCTTTGCGGGAAGGGGACCCCTAAAAGATGCATAATTCCAGACATCAATAATACTATTTGAAAAGGGAAGAAATATAAATAAAATGCTATGCCTAATGTAGAGGTTGTAATTTCAGGAGCCCTTACCATACGTGTGAATCATAACTATTATTACGATTGTCACCCATCACAAAAACAGAGTTCTCAGGTACACGCTGCATTACAAAGCAAAGAAACTAGTGACGGGTCATTACCAAGGGAAAATTGTACATTTACATGCAAACACACTGCAAGGCAAGAAGTTCAGAGTTTAACTTCGTCACAGTTTCACTATGACTACAGTGAGGAGTTCTTGGTCAAAATGTGACTGTTCGTGTAGGCCAACTACCGACCACTACCCTCCTCCTATATCAGGGTTCGGATAAAGGAACATTCGAAAACTAAGACATGAGATGCCAATGATGGAGTTTATACTTACAACAGGTGTCATCTCATACAAAGGAGATTCAAGAATAAACTTTTCACTTCTCACAACTCCATTTACTATAAGCTTCCCCTCATGAACCTGCAATCAAACCATATGGGGATGCAATGATCAAAATTTTCCAAGAGAAATTTTGAAACAACAGACATTTTGTAAGATAGAGGCATTCAACAGGCATTGTTTCTTGAGCTAGAAGGCACAATTAATCACATTTCATCCAAATGTGATGAGATATAAGGGTCTATAATTCAGCAAAACATCATTTTTGGTGCCTTCTAGCTCAAAAAACAGTTAGAGCATATGGAAACAATGCTTGTTGAATGCATCTAAAATCGATTCCCCAATAAAACCTGCAATCAAACCATATTGCTAAATAGTTAGAGCCCCATCATAGTCATCAGAAATAAAACAAAAATCAATTCCCCTTCCCCTTCTCAGTCAATAAATAAAATTCTAAAAAGAGAGTAAAGTGTTTGATGAATAAAAAATGTATAAATTTTACGATAAAATTACTTAGCAGAAGTGCCTTCTTTGGTATCTGACCTCTACAATATCACCTTCCTTTGCAACAATTCGTTTTATGAATACATCATTATCCGTGTAACCAACTTCCTGGAGGACTGGTGGACTTTTGAAGATCACTATATCATTTACACATGGCTTTCTGAAATAGTATGAAACCTGACAATTTCAAGTAATACAGCTGTCACACTTCTTACGAAAATTAGACATTTTAAAATAGAGATTCAAACAACTGGAAATGCCCTAACAAGGTCCATAGGTTCAGTATGCACCATTTTCATTGAAATTAGAGAAACAATAATTATGCATTCAAAAAATTTGATAATTGGAAAATGTTATACAACTCAGTTCAATTATTTGAGTTTCATGGCATGCCTGAACTACTACTCAGCATAGCAAACCTTTTAATATTGAAAAAAGTAGAAAGAATAAACAAAAAGTCTATCTATTTGTATCCGTCTACGTTCATGTCATCCTAAACTAGCCATTTCAAACCACTCTCCAGAGAACAATTATTGCACCATTCACTAAATCGAACAAGGAAGAAAAATCCTACAGGTTGTAGCAATAACAAAGGCAAAATAAGTTCCTAACCAGTCTTCCAGGATTAACAAGTTACACATTTTCCTCATCCATGCGACATCTTGTATGGAATTTTATTGCCCTCCACAATAAATGTGAATCTAAAGATATCCCTCTTACTTGCTAATTACCACTAGGCCAAACGCCCATTGGTCAAAGTCTCTCATTATTCAAACAAAATCCCAGTCTTACGTGACATCATGATGATAAACCTTTGAATTAACTTGCAATCTCAATGATGGGACTGTGCCTTAGTTCAACATTGAATTTACACACTTAAAACCTCCCTAACATCATAAATGAAGTAAAGCAGCCATGCTACCTTCTCGGCAACAACCCGATCGCCAACGTCAAACGTTGGATACATAGACAAAGAAGGAATGAACCTTGGCTCTGCTACAAAATAACGAAATGCAAGCGAAACAGCAACAGCAGAAAAGACAGTCTTTACATCATCCGTAGTAAAATTTAACCACTCTGGCAAAATCCCATCATTTTTCTCCATCTCCCCATCACCATCATCCCCACCTCCACCACCATCACCACCAGAATCCAACACTGTCTTAGTCTCTTCACCAGAATCTTTAACCCCATGACAAATTAACCTCTGCAATTTAGCTGAAAGTTTTAATCTTTGTGAGCTTTTGAGTTTAAAGTTAGAGTTTTTGGGGAAAGAGAGGAAAAGAGTATGTTTGGATTTTGTAAGATAAGGGGTTCTGGGGAAAGGGATTGAGTGAAAATTAGGGTTTGTGAAGCATTGGAGAGAAAGGTGATTAGGTTTTAAGAAGTGGGAATTAGGGATTTGCAAGGAAGGCAGAGAAGTTATAAATTGCAGGGATATCATCTCTACTCTCAAAGAACGGCATTAGTTCCCGAGTCTTCTTTTAAGATAATTGAAAACCAAAGTTCATGTGGCAGGGAGTGAAGATTCTCTGTGGTATATCACACGGCTGAAGTCAAACTATTTATTTTCTATTGGATGATGCTTTCTTGCAAGTCAATGCATCCGATGGTGACAAAGAAAGCTTTCCAGTTTCCCAGGTGTGAAAATATTTAGGTAATATTTAATGGTGTAATGGTGGTTATTTTTTAAAGTAATTTTTATTTTAAAATATAATTAAAATAATATATTATTTATTTTTTAAAATTTATTTTTAATATTAACATATTAAAATAATTTAAAAATATAAAAAATTTATTCAAGTTTTGAGTCATCAAGAGGGATTTATCATTTTAGGTAAATTAAAAAATATTGAATATGTTTTTAAATAATATTGATTGTAAAATTCTTATATAAAATGGAATGAGATTTGAAAAGAGTTTCAAGTTTTATTAAAAAAAATCAATGAATATCTAAATCAAAATATTCTTAATGAAGAAATAATAATTACATTGAGTAAATGTTCATTAAAAAATTAAGTCAGATCACACATAACTTTTCTAATATTTTGGGGGTAATGACAGGTTGTTAAACGATATATTTAATCTTCAAATATAAATTAATAAATTATTAAATTGATAATATATTAAATTATTTAATGCACTTAATCTTATTTAATATAGTATTATGATTTATATTTGAACTTATTTATTATGAATTTAATGGGTCATCCACATTAAGAATTATTAGTTAACAATTAAATTAAAATAATTAACTAAGTGTGACTTAATTTTAAATAAGTTTTTGGAATTGATGACTAAAATATAATTTTTTTAGGGAAATACAATTCTAAATTTTCAAAAAATCAAGTAGGTACTTGATTGAATAAATTTATAAAATTATCTTTAGATAATATATGTCATATTATTTAGAATTTTGTTTTATATTTTATCATTTATAGATTCATCAAGTTTTCTTATAAATAGAATGTCATCCCTTATATTTCCTGAGTAGAGAAAAATTATGCAAGTTAAAAAAAAAAAAAGTTAGCACTTATATACATAACAATTCTTCTCTTTTAAAAAGAGTTTTCTAAAAATTTTTAGTGATGGTTCATATAGATTACTATTAGAGTCGGATCCTTAGATGACTTGTGATTTATGATAATATAGCCTTAAACAACTTGATTGAACCTTAAATGAAGATTAAATTTTTAGGTAATCTTTGTATAAACTCTGAAGGATCCTAGATTATCTAATGTGATATTTAAAACTCTTAAGAAATTATAAATTGATCAATTCTGTTATGTATATGTGTTTTGGAAAACCTAACATCTCCTTTAACATAAGAGACTAGGGGAAAGCTTCCTCCTATAACATATATACCCTAGAGAGAAGCATGTGCCCTAGCTTTACTCTCTGAGCTGGAGTTGATGCGACCTAAACTATACTAAAGAGTCTATTAGAAGTTCTAGTTAGGTCAATTATAACGTTAAGGAAAAAAAACATTCAATTGGCTTATTTAAAGTATTTGAGCTAATATGAATTTCAAAGATAATATATCTTCGACAAGTGATGATCAAATTTTAATCAATTTAATCTTTGTACAAGAAGAGTTTTATCTATTTACTTCATAGGCTAACTAATTTTGGCAGTTACATGCATTGTTTTTTCTAATGCACAACTTTATGCTAATAAATATTATTTTTTACTGGACTGTTGGATCAACCTAAAAGTATACTAGAAAATGCTAGAGGCCTTGTTTTATATACGGTTAAAATTTCATAAAGATCAAACATTAAAAATGACCTTATAATAAGGTCCAGAATCTATTATACAATAATTATATTAGTTTCCTAGTTGATTTAGGATTATTTTTTAATTTTATTTAGAACTCTCTTATCATTTTTCTAGAATTTTAAGGATGTTTTTACCTATTATAAATAAGTTTATTTAGCTTGTATATAGTTTTTTTTTTTTTTTACAAACTTTGATTTTAAAATAATATTTATGCGTGAGCAAGAAGAATTCTTTTAATCTGGTTTTTCATTGAACTACACTGACTTATCAAAAAATTAACTAAATTTTATGGTATTTTTCATGCTACTTGTTCGTGTCTCTTTTAATTTGGGTGGAGTTTTGGTTTATATATTCGTAGTGCCTCAATAAAGGTTATTATTGTGTCAAGCTCAATCACAAGCCTAAATTTAGCTTTCTTGAAAAAAGTCAATTTGACTATGGATTTTTTGATCTTTATATCCACATGATTCACATTAGTTGGTATTTGCGTAAAACTCTAAAATCAGATTATATTTATTTATTCTTTAGTTTTCATGTTATTTCATTGTTGTCATCATCTAACACCTAATTATGATAAAATAAATTAAAAAAAAAAGATAATTTGTGATCTAATTATCTACAAGTAAAAAAATTCAAAAAAATCACAAAAGAGGAAAAAAAAATAGGATTTAGCTATAAATTAGAGTTTTTCACAAATCTTGGATTCAACAACTCAAATCTAAATTGAAATTAAAAAATATAATTCATAATGAGGATTTAACTTGATGGCATGAATATTGACTTATAGATTGAAATATTCATTAATGTTTGTAATATGGTTGGAAATTAATTGGGATGAATATAAATCTCTATGGTTAAATTTTTAATTGGTGGTATGAACATTAATTAATGGTTGATAACGTGGATGGAAATTAATGAAATCATAGAAATATGGAGATTTCTAAATTTTAAATTTTAATTGGAATAATGAAAATTGACAAATGAGTTAATTGTGTGCATGGATAGTCTAACAAAGTATTAAATTAATACCATTATGGTGTGTAGGAAACATAACCGGAGAAGGATATGTTCCGGTAAAAGATGTGTGTTAGGAGTTTTAGATAAGCGGGGAATGTTAATTGAAAAGCTGACCAGATGAACAGGGGCATGAATCTTGAAAGAATTTATCTAGCATTTTATTTTGAGTTGCTGGGTAATGTTCATGATCCAAAGGTGGCAATAAAATTGTATTAAATGGAATAAATAGGCATAAAGAATATTTGAGATTAAAAATTAAATGAATGAGCCATAAATGTAATAATAAAGATGGAAAAATTTATGAATGAGTCTTAAATAGACAAGAGAACTATTTGATATTGAAAAAAAAATGTAAATTATAAATGGACAAAAAAAAATAATTTAGATGAAAATATGACACAAACACCTATCTCGAGAATATATAAGGCTAAAGAGAATATGCATGAACCCAAATATATTCATCTACCATCTATACAATTATTATTCAATATTAAATGCTCCCACTTCTTTATATTATAATTAAACTTACAAAATAGTGTTAGGTATACTTATGCCTGGTGGATGACCAATATGAGAAGGTCATTTTCTTTTAATATTTAGGTCTACAAACCCAAATGATTTCTATTAAACCCAAATGATTTCTATTAAATCAATATGATAGTTTTTTCTTCCTATTTTGCCTTTATTTCCATGCAAATTAGACTGATTTATAAATATATAAACACTCATCAACCACGAGGTAAGTTGAAAAACACAACTTAATATTTTTCTAGCATTCTTAACTTCTTCATCACTCTTTATAAACACAAACATTCTTAACTTGGAAAGCTTCATTATATCAATCTATCATGAACAAGAAACTGAAGAGGACGTGTGATCTACAAAGGCATCCAACAAAGCCAAGCTCAATAAATTCTTAAAATAACTTCAATTGTGTATGTTGTACCGCAGCCTGTCCTCAGAACAGTACTGTAAGTAAATACAAATTTACTACTTGCTACCTATAATTTGTATAAACAATGATGTCAATAGACATGAAAATGAATCGCAGTATCGACGACTTTCACGAGCAAGCAATCTTTCATCAGCCCTGCATAATTTAATCTCATGGTAAGGGCACTTTCCAAGTTCCAGTCATCTGTATCATCCTACATATGTATGATAACAGCATCTCCCATCGTTTCCCTGTCAATTTATGCACAGGATTCTGCTTACGACTTTTTCACAAATGCCGACCAGACTTTGGTGCTGCCTTCTGCTTTTGATTTGCGGTTGTGCCCCAAACACAAACAGACGAGTGAGCAAGACAGAGTTGGAACCTGTCCATGAAGACTCAGATGAAGACCTGTAATTCTTAAGAATCATCTGGGTTCTTATTTTAACAGAAGATGATCCATTTTGATTGGTTGTAGCTTCCCCAGGTATATGTAACAGCTTAGAATAAGAAGCACCACGGTTTTGGTCCTTGTAAATGCTTTCCAGTCTATCCACGGGCACGTCATCTTTCTTTCTATCTGCATTGACCTCCGGATCTTCGTCATTTTCTATAATTCTCTCAGCTTCACTCAGCAAACCAATGGCACGCCATGCATCTGCTATTAGCTGCATGGTCCCCTTCTTAGGAAAGACACCCTTCTCTTCCATAACTTGCAGCAGTTCTTCTGCTTTCAATGGCTGCTTTGCTTCACCATATCCCCATATCAAGGTCTCATAGGTTTTCAAGTTGGGGGAAACGCCAATTTCACACATCTTCTCATAAACCTTCATTGCATGCTCCATTTTTCCTGCGCTGCACCATCCACTTATAACGGTGGTGTAGATTACAACATTTGGATGCACGCCATATTTTCTCATAGAAGACAGGATTGACTCTGCCTTTTCAGGTTCTCCGGCTCGCACATAACCCTTTGCAAGGATACTGAACGCGTGAATGTCAGGTTCTATTTCAGCCTTCACCATGTCATTGAAGATCTCTTCGCATTTGTCCATACGCCCAGCTGAACTCCATGCATTCATGATTGTGCTAAATGTTACAACATCTGGCCTTACCCCATTTTCTTCCATTAGTGTCAGCACCTGTTGAACACGTGACAAAGCCAGAAATTAGGTGTTTGGGATCGATCTTTCTTTTGGCATGGTGAAAGGTATCAGAGACATGAAATTACCTCATCAACTCCTTCAGTATCCATGGTATCTAGAAATCCTTTGATGAGAGAATTAAAAACAAAGAGATTAGGAAGCACGCCAAGCTCCTTCATTCTGAACACAAACCTAGAAGCGTCAACCATATTACCTTCTTTGCAGTAGCCATTCACAATGATGCTGCAAGTACGCTCATTGGGCGACACTCTCCTGTTCAGCATTTCCAGTATCATTTCTTCAGCCCTAATTGTCTCTCCTTTCTCTGCATAAGCCCTTGCTAGTGTGTTGTATGTGACAGCATCTGGTTGCATGCCAGATGCAACCATCTTGTACACCATGTTCCAAGCTTCTTCCATGTTTTCCTTGTTACACCAAGCTCTAACAAGAATATTATATGTCCTCTGATTTGGTTTCACACCTCCATCCTGTAAAAACTCCAGTAATTTCAAAGCTTCTTCAGTCTTGCCAGCATTCCCATATCCTTTGATAAGGGTGTTATATGTGCTTGTTGTTGGTTTACATCCACTCTCCTTCATTTTCCGAAATAGTTTCATGGCTTCCTTCATATTTCCAGATTCAGAAAAGGCATTGATTATGGAATTGAAGAGTATAGAATCAGGCTTCATGCCATTTTCTTCCATTTTAGAGATGAGTCGAAGTATAGACTTGAAGAGTTTTTGCCGAGTCAAGGCCGCTACAAGGGTTGTGTATGTTATAAGAGTTGGCCTGTGTCCCTCGTCCATTAAACTGTTGAAAATAGAATGGGCTTCTCGAGGCTTCCCCTTCCCAATCAAAACATTCATCAGTTTTGTTCTAGAGCGGACTATCCTGCAGCGATTGTTGCCCAAACAGATAGGGCAGCAGGATTGAACTTGTGAATCCACAAATGATGAAACCGATAGAAATTGGTCGTTCTCTAGCAGATTTGATTCCTGTAAAGTTGAAATCAATCAAAAGTTGGTTGTCACCATGTAATGACTGAACACAGACCCACAGTGCTGTAATTTCCAAGTTGCGAAGCAATAAAACTTCATATATCTCCATAGATTTGACTGGTAATCAGCTAAAAGATCAACAACAAGTAAATGGATATAATTTTGAGAGGGAAGGCACATTTATACAGGCCAGCCAAGGTATATGTAGACACCAATTCTACACTTTCAGTCCCCGCCAATGCTTGTAGCAACATGGATATGCACAGGTCTTTACTCCTCCCTCGACAATCAGAAAACTACATTACAAATTTTGACCCACAATTTGCTCATCTTGAACCAAGAGATAGAAGAGGAAATAGGATAGGACCTGAATTGATCCAGATGTTAAGGAGAATAATTAGTCAACTAGCTGAGTTTGCGACCCATCCCTGCAATATGTCAGAGTCCCCAGTTATTTATTTTACTCTAGTCTACGGATTCAGTTAGTTGAATTAATTGTTGAAATCTCCATTTACAACTTTCTCCAAACCACTCACAATACAAGGCTCTCCTCTGATGTCATAAATAATGCAAGGATTGTTCACTAATAATGATGAAAGTATGTGCCGGATTCTCACCAATTTTTGCAGGTCTTTCTTGGGGGAAAATGAGGAGAAACACGAGAACAGCACAAAAAGTAAGGCAATAAAAAAAAGGACAAAAACATGGAAGCATTTTGAAAATGTATGTACAAGACAAAAGCCACTTTGTTAAGCAAGTTATTGTTATATTTCTTAAACAAGGATTGTACAGGATTGTCACAGATTGCAACTGAAGCGATTAAACAACGCAAGGAAAGATTTGAGCAAGTAAAAGAACAATGAGGAGTAGTTGTACCATAACTGCAGGTGCTTCAAGCCTCTTTCCGCTTGTGATTGCCCCATCTTCCATCTTACCCTATCTCCTTTCCCCCCACTCCCTTAGCAAACCACCTCCTGCCTTTAATGGATTCCAGTCCAAACTACCACACATACACAGAGGCCAGTGAACTTATCTTCTTCTGGACAAACATAAATCATAACGTCAATAATTGAAGTGATTGAATGAATGAGACTGCACTGAGAGAAGACAGTCGCTTCTACAGGTCCATTAAGCAGTACCAGGTTAGCAAGACCAGAAATAATGGGAACATTAATTCGGAAACTATACTAGACACCATCTAAATAGCTAATCCTTGAAAGTTCGAATCAATACCTAGCTGGAAAAGGCTAAACCTACATTAAGAGTTTATTAAATTCACCTAATTTGACACACAAGGCATAGAGATGCATTTTCCTTTCCCCAGTTAAATTCACATAAACCTCAAGAGAGAGATTTTCTGCTATACCAGCCCATGTGGAGCAATAGCATCAGTAAGGTGTTAATTTGACCTCTGCTAAGGAATCAATTTAAAATAAGTAAAAACAGAAAATGATTATACCACTCATATCAAACAACAATCTTAAGCGACTGAAAACAAAACCCAGATCACAACTTCCAGTGATCAGATTATCTCATGCAGGCAAATGTTAATGGGAAGTTTTATATAGAAATTTGAAACTTTGGTAGAGCGAAGTTACAGGCTTACAAGTCACCAAACAAAAATGCCTGACACTGAAAAGGAAGAAAAAATACATTAGCAGGAGAAATCTAAGGAGTTAAACTAGTTGCAGGTTCCCACCTCTTGAGTTGAGCAGCTGCAAAAGGTGGGGAGGAGTGAGAAGAGGCTGAATTTGCATGGTTGGTTGGCCTCTTTAGACATGCAGCAGCTCATGAGAGTAGCAGAAACACTTGTTGTTTAGTGGCTGTGTATGTGTAGTGGCATCCACTAGAGATTCTTATCCACAAATATTATCAGGAACAGATTCTTGGGATAATTTTTTGAGGCTGTAAAATAGTATGATGCCAAATTTATGATTAGTTTTTTAGGTGGAGGAGAATTTTCCACGCCAAATTTTCGTTTTATGGTTAACAGAGAATGGGATATGCTAGTGTTTGGTCAGAGGAGAAAAGATTTAATAATAGTAAACATTTCCCAGCAATGACATGAAATATTTTTCAATTTTTTTTTTAATTTAGTTTTTCAATAATTAAAATTAATATTTGCACGAGAAATAATGATTTAAGATATTTAGAAAAGTATTTTATTAAACAAACTTTTTTTTTTGTTAATTGATTTTCTCACAAAAACTCTTTTCCCCCCCCAATAGCAGCATATTTTTTGAATTAAAAGCAAAAGCAATTAAAAAATTTCTTAAAACTTTTAATAAAATAAATAACCAGGAAAAAATATTTTTCTTCAATCTATATTTTCTTATCAGAAGTGTTATATTTTTTTTATCATGATATAAAAAGAATTAAAAAACATTAAAAATCTTGTTTATATGCAATCAAATAAAAAAAGAATAACTAATTTGAAAAAATTATTTAAAAAATTTATAAAAAACATAAAAAATATAAATTTTATTTTTATGAAATATTCATGACCACAAATTAAAAAAAAACACTGTGGATTCATATATAATAATTAATAAAGATATTGCTAATATTATAAAGCAAATATTATAATATTATTGGAAAATGAAGGAAAATATGAATTACATTTAATGGGATAATATCTTAAATATAATTTTAATTTATTTATTATAATTAATCTTAATTGAAAAATTAAGAGAAAAAATAAAAAAATTATTTAAAAAAAGTCCATCATGTTAGGCCCAATGCCTACACAAGTCTGCATGGTCAAGCCCTCGTTTCTTTTTCTCTCTTTTTTTATCTTTCTATTTAAAAAAAAGAGATGACATGTTATTGTTATCTTCTATTATAAATTTTGATAATTGAAAAGTTAAATTCTAACTTGTTAGACCTAAATATCTTTATTTTTGTTTAACTTCAAAACACCAAGAAACTTAAATTAAATCATGTATAATCTCAAAACACATGTTAATTTCTTAGAAAACAAAAAAATTATCTCAAATTAATAAAAAAAACTTCTTGAACCCTAGTATAATTTTCTTAATAACATATATAATAAAAAACACCTTAATAATTTTTTTGTTGTGAAGTGAAACTAATCGGTACCAAGATCAAACTTTTTTATTAATGAAATATAGCTAATTAACTACTTTTTTTTTTAATAACTCTCTCTCCTAACGCAAACTCTAAAACCAAAACACAAAACAAATAAAGTCTAGTAGAGGACCAAAAAATAAGGAAACAAAGACTATTTGAATAAAAATGCACTTTTTCATGTGAATTTGAGAGAAGTCTTGTAGATTTTGTTAATTTTATTTTGGTGGTTTTTCTTTAAATTTTGTTTTTATGCAACCAATTTCAATTCTATTTTATTAAATTGGCATCCTATTATATTCTAAAACATGATTAAAAACCTTGAATTGTCAATAACAAAAAAAAAAGAGTTTGACTTCCAAAACCTAAAAAAACTCATTTTGAATCTTTTTCACTTGAAAAAACCGAAGGAACACTCTAAAAATCTCAATAAACTTATTTATAATTTCAAAACATTAGTTGATCTGTCAAAAATCAAAAACTAACAAAAATTAAAAAAAAAACTTGTTAAACTTCAATCTACGTTTCTTGGCAATATAAGTGATATAAAAACACCTTATTGACACATTTATCATTAAATGAAAACAATTAATACTAAAATTGACCTTTTATATATGAAATGTGGCTAATTGACTAATTTCTCCCTATCTCTTTTTAATTGATAACTTTCTTTCTTCTAACTCAAATTCAATAACTAAAATGTAAAACAGATGAAGTGTAGTATCTAAGTTTTTTTTTTTAAAATTAAAGGGACCAAAAATGATGAAACAAAGACCATTTGTATGAAAATGCACTTTGTCTCATGAATTTGAGAAAAGCCACGTAGATTTTTTTTAATTCTTATTTTGGTCTTTTTTTTTATAAATTGTGTTTTTATGTAACCAATTTTAATTCTATTTCATTAAATTGGCCTCTTAAAAAATCCTTAAAAAACTAATATGGAAATAAGAAAGATGAAAATGAAACCTCCTTCTCTTCGTTATAATGCAAAATTTTATTTTTTTATGTTAAGTTGTTTCACTATTTTTTCTATTATTTATTCATTGTTTGGCTTTTTTTGTGTATTTTTAGTTTTTTGGTCCTTTTTTTTTTATTACCATAGTTTTTTGTTATTTGATTCAATTAAGCATGATTGTATAATTGAGATTGGTTGTATAATTGAGATTGGTCTATATAGTTTGATTTAGTTAGCTTGGTAAAAGGAAAAAATATCCTATTATTAAACCAACACTTAATTTTGGGAAAACAAATTTAGATTTTTTCATTTTACTAAAGACTAAAAATTAAAGGACTATAATTGAAATTGAGAGAGAAAAAACAAAGCATCCCTATCCTTTGACGAAGAAGAAACTAGGCAGGGAAACCAAGGAGTAGAGAGAGAAAAAAACAGGGAGAGAGGAAGAATTGATCATTAAAGCTCTACTAACGTTGTATATTGTCTTGAAAAGAAGCTCACACCAAGACAAATCCAACAACACTAAAGAAGACTGTCATTAAAGGCGAGAGGAAGCTACACACACCTCTATAATGTAACAACTCCCCTTGTATATTGGCATGTGTACGAATGCTAGACACTTGCTTTCCCTTTTCATTCAACATAGTCATTAATTTTCTAATAACTCTTCAATTTAGTTTTGAATTTTATTTCACCAAGGGCTAAGCCCTCTCCCTTTAATTTAGTTTATGATTCTCTAATAACTATTCAATTTAATCTCTAATTTCATCCCACCCGAACCTAATGATGACACATATAAAAAGAGAAGAAGAAAAAGAAAAGAAAGAGATGGATGACCAACTAAATTAACACATTATGGTCACGTTCATAACCAGGGTGACAAATTTAACAGGCTAACATTGTTGATCTAGATCAATCCAATATTTTTTTCATCTTGATATTAAAAAAAAATCATCCTAATGTTTTTAAAGATAAATCATATTTTGTTGTTTGTCTAGGTTATTTTTGAATCTGTCAAATTAATTAAATCACATCATAGCACCTCCTATATAATTTAGTTTGAAACTCGGGTTAGGTAAGGAATCGGTTTAGAAGGTTTCATGATTGAGGCTTTAATGACATAGTCAAATATTTTCACATGCCCTTCTCTTTTTTTACATTAAAAAAAATATTGCTTATATGTTTTTTTTATATATAAAAAATAAAGTTTAGAACATTTTTTTTTCACTCAAATAAAATTTTGACCGATTCAACTTGTTATGAGTTTATGCATTTTGTTTTTAAAATAGAAAACATGCTTACAAGATTGTCATTGCTACCTCAAATTCATACCCGCAATAAAATATGGGTAATGACAATAATTCAATTCTAAAACATATTTAAACATTTTAAATTGTTAATAACAAGAAAAAATAAGATAATATAAACACTTAAAACATCATAGCTATCGTATTAAGGAATAAAATTTTTTAAAACAATTGATGATCAGAACAGTTAAAAAAAAAGTTAGTGCTCCAATTAAAAATAAATTGTGAGAGAGTATAGAATCACGTGAGTGAGCGATGAAAACCAATGCCTTTTAGTTTTTTTGTGATGAAATGTAATTATAACTTCAATTCTTTTCTTTTCTTTATTTCTTTTCTTCTTCTTTTTTTTTGTGGGCAACAAACGAAGAGCTTTAATAAGGGTAATGACTTCATATAACTTCTAAATTATATTTGAATGAAAATGATTTATTTTTATATCCTTAAAAATACTATATCGTAAGTCTTTCAAATATTTTAAATAACAAATACTGAAATAGAGATATAAAAGTATAAACACTTTTAAAAAAAATAAAATAGAAGGGAATACTCAATTAAAAATAAAGTGAAAATTTCATCCACTCTTGACATATATGTCAGCATGCCATGCCATGTGAATGTATTTTGACACCCACGTCAACAAGTCTTTTGAATTGTCTACACTATATAATTGTTAATTTATTTTTAATACAAAAATATATTTTTTATTAAAATAATGCTTGATTTGAGTTAAATTAAAACTATTTTATCATACTCTTTAAATGTATTTTGACCATAGTAAAAATGTATTTTTACCATGAATAAAACAATTATAATAATTGTTATGTTCACAACAGTAACAGTACTCATAACGTTAACAAAAGGCTCTGCAATATTACCTAAATATTAGTAAATTCAATTATTATAGTAATAATAATTGGTTTACATCTCTAAAACTAAAACTATTAGGTTACAGACATTATAGAAATCCTATTACTATAAGTGCATGAAGAACAATTTGTTAAATTGTATAAACTATAATATTTTTTACAAAAACAAAAAAATTATTTTATTTTTTAAAATTTAATTTTACTTCATTAAACGTAAAATAAAAATTCACAACCAATATAGTAAAATTATCCTAAATCGAGTTATTTAAAAAGGAACTAAACTGTCCATTATTATTAAAATACCAGTCGCTTTACCTTTTATCAAAGTGAACATATAGTAACACGTCTATAAATCTTGCGCTATGTACCTAATGAAATGATTTATAAATTTTTTATTAGAAAAAAATAATTTGCTCTGATTACTTAAATTTTAGTACATTGATACCCCCAATTTAGAATTAGTTTTTTTTTTCTGGATATGAATTAAAAATAATAATTTACATTAATTTAAGTTTTTATTTCATATATATATATATATATAAAAGTGCAATCTAATATTTTAGGTAGCCTTTGAAAATTATCCTGAGATAAAATTAAAAAAAAAACAATAAAAACAAAGAAAACAAGACA